CCCAGCCATCCACGTTGCCCGGGCCAGGCAAGTGGGCGAGGCGAGGCGAGGGGGGGAGGGATGGCCGCCTTTCCTGGAGGGGGACAGAGAGTGGGTTAGTGCTGGCACCACCCAACGGGATGAAGGGGGCAGAGCAGAGGAACAGGGGCAGGATTGGTGCTGGGGCAGGATCGGTGCTGGGGCAAGCTCCGTGCTCACTCAGCCCCGCGGGAACTGGGGATGCATCCTCGTGCATTGCAGCCCCCTATAAGGGCTCCCCAAAAATGCATTTGCCTCTGCACCCCCTTGCCAGGCAAGGAGGTTGGGGCAGGCTGAGCCTGCAATTAATCATCCTTGCCCAAAATATGACCCAGGACCTCTCACTACCTGCAGCTTCCTAAAGCCTCCCTGCAGGTGATGCATGGAGACCCCCGTGTGCCGCCCCGGGGGTGCATCGTCTGGCAGCTGGTCCCCAGCCAGGAGGAAAGAGAACAGCCCGGCCTCGCAAGGCCCGGGGGGTCCATCGTCGGGCAGCTGTTCCCCAGCCAGCAGGAAAGAGAAGAGCCAGGTCTGACAGTGCAGAGAGTGTATTCAGAAAGGGGAAAAAAAAGAAATAAAAGCACAGTCAAAAGGCAACTCGTTACTGCGGGGAGAGTGGCGGGAGCAAGGGACAGGAAGAGGCAGAGCTGGACCAGGAGCATCAGGCTGAGCATCACTGAGCTGGCCCTGCCCTTGCCTGCTCTCCCCTGCCCGGCACATCCCTCGCTCCCAGCCCTGCCAAGCAGCACTGCCTGTCCCCAGCTCCAGCACCAAGCATGGGGAAGGACAGGGACCCCATGGTGTCCCCGGTCCCAGCACTGTGTGGCTCTGCCGTTCCCCCGGGGATGTGGCTTTCCTCCACAGTGTGGAAGCAAATGAGGACAAATCCCAAAGGAGCAGCAAAAGAGACAGGAGCAGGCACAGTGCAGCGGAAAGGCGGTGTGTCGCCTCCGGGTTTGCTTTGGTAGAAGGCCGATAGGAGCTGGCAGGACAGAGGGGCTGCAGGTGAGTGGGAAGAGCCAGCAGCTGCCGGCTACGAGAGCTGGAAAGGCAGGAGGCAAGGAAAGGACGGAGCCAGAGACATGATACTCCATACAGTTTCCAGGTAAGAGGAGAGAAAGTGCCGGCAGTCCCGTGGGATGGGCAGGCTCCTGACGGCTCTTTGGGATCCCGCAGGCTCTACGCCCCTGACTCCTGCCACCTCCCCGGGACCCTTCAGCTCCTGTTACACTGGGCGTCAGCAGCGCCTGCCTCACCCACGGTTCCAGCACTGCAGCCTCCCAGCTACTTCTTTTTTCTATTTCCTTTTCTTTTTTCCCCCTTTTTTGTGGTTGGTTCGGCTTTTGGCACACCCGTGAGCAGTTAGGGAGGACTCGGCTGGTGGAGGGAAGCCTAAAACCCCCATGTTTTTCTCTCTGCCACTGCTACTTGTAGTAAAAAGAAGGTTTCCACACCTGTGGCTCGATGCCGGCGTTCCTGGTGGAGTAGGAGGGCCGGGGCGCCTGGAAGCCCCCCTTCGCTCGGGGCGGCAGCAGGCGGCACGGGGAGGCCAGCAGCACCTCGGTCGGGGCTCCGGGACCAGCACGGCTGCTGTGAGTCAGGGGCAGAGCCCCGATGGCACCGGGGAAGGGACTGGAGGTGGTCTGGC